AAAAAAAAGTGATAAAATGACTGGAGGATAAGTCATACTTAAAATAAAAGTAGGATTGTTGTATAATTTACAAGTAGGTGGAAATAAAAAGAGAACCTTTTTTAAAAAACTATAGAATATTATATTTTTAAAATGTCAAAAAGAATCAGATTTTCTTTGAACAAACTAAAGAGAAAGAATTACTCTCTAACTTGTGTGGCAAAGTTAAAACTGAAGTAATTCATTCAAGATTCAGGAAAAGAAAAGGAGGATGACAAGCAGTTATGTTTTCACAGACCATGAAACATAAAATACCTTTTTACTAGATCTTCTCCATTCCAGCAGGGCAGCCCATCCACAGCAGCTAATTCATTAACACAAAGCTGATCAGCCAGGCTGCCATAGAATGACCTGTACAGTCGAAGACTGTTGATAAATTCTCTGAAAGAACAAAGAAGACAATTAATCCTCCAAATCCATAATGACTGTTAACACAAATGACATATATTGTTGTATATAATGTTTAGAATGCAACATTTTTGTTTCTCACTCATTTTCACATATTTCAGATACTTTTCAAATAATCAGGAACAATATATTATCCTGAAAAAATAATACTAACATTCAAATTTATTCTTTGAATAAAATTTTTCACTTGGTATGAATATTATATAATTCCAGGTGCAAGACATTGTGAATACTCCATACCAGTGTTTGTTATCTGTCCGTCTCTCTCTCTCTCTCTCTCTCTCTCTCTCTCTCTCTCTCTCACACACACACACACACACACACACACACACACACACATCTTCAGTCTCATTTGAGGCAGATGTAAACACCTAGAAAAAATTCATTCATACTAAGTACACATGACTTATCATTATGATAAATTAACTATTCCAGTCATATTGTGAGGAAAAGGGGATACATAACTGCTCTAAAGAAAAACATTTCAGATGTCCCATCACACAAGATGGTACCATTTTTCATTTTTGCGCCTTGTTAGTTGTTCCACTTTATAACTGAATCATAATTTATAAGTCATTTAAGACAAGCTTTCAGTGATGAACAGAACAAATAATTTTGTAAAACTAGTTGATTTTAAATGATCACCCCCAGAAAGGGTATTTATAGTAATGTTAGTTCACATGTGAATATTAAATGTAATACCTAATGTAGGATATTTCATTCAGGTTATTTCACTAAAGTAACATTATTTATACAATGCATATAAGAAGTACCAGAGGATGTTTTTGAAGTCAAAGAATATAATGCATTTGTATTTTTTAAATTTTTTCTATTGAGTAAAACAAATTATTTCTCAGTTCTTACATTTTCATGCTTGTCTTGGAAATAAAATCACCTACTGCAGTGTTGATCCCAGTTATTTTCACATGTCTTATCTCTAAAAGGTGCCAATATTTATTTCCTTCTATGCAAAATTATTTCAGAGCAATTCACATGTATCCCAAGCTTCAAATGACATTTGGTTATCATTAAAGAAATATGGTGAAACAGAAAAGAAGAAAGGAGAAGCATTCAAGTTCTTAGGCACAGTCAACTCAGAATTCTTGAACTCCTTTACAACCAAGAATTCTTTGTTCCATTAGCAGAACAATAGCTTTCTTAGACTAGGAAAATACAAAAGAGAGATCTGTGTCAAAAGAGTAGCAAGGCATAGTATTTTTGAACTGAGCTGTCATTAAAATATACATTCTGTCTCCAACTCCATGCCAGTTTTCTCCTTGATAAACGACAAATATATATTTCTTGGATGAAGGTTTAATTCAAAAAGGACATATTGGTGGCAAGATTTATTTTACTAGGTTTCAATGTTACAATTGGTTGAATCTTATTCTTTCCTAAGTCCATTTGTGATTAAAATTAATCCAGAATAATATATATATATAGTTTTCTTTACTTTAGTTTGGCAAAAACTAGTTTTAATCTTGCCTCAATGATGTGCTGTCTGGGGCAGGTTCTCTCTATGGATCTGCTGGGAGAGCCATAGCTCCACTGGAAGAAGGGTGAAAGAAATGGACCACGAACTAATTATATGACAATTTTCAAGGTCACAAAGGTTTTGACATTCTGATTCTCTCCACTTTCCTTTTACAGATTTCATCGATATGTTTGATGAGCAAAACTATGTCCAATATTGAGAACAGAATCAATTTTTTTTTCTCTAATGCTTATGACAAGACTATCTTCACAAACCAACAGGGCTGTCCATGGGAAACTGGTTTTGCTTGTTAACTATTATCAGGAAAGATGGCTTAAAATCATTTACTTCAAAACCAAAATTATTATTTGAGTCAGTTATCTTTCAAAATGTAATTGGTTATATCAACACCATGTAACAAGATAAGTAATTTATTTGGTTACTTAAGTGTACATTTGTAAATAATTCATCTTGGCAGATTCACCAAGAAAATTAGTTTCTCAAAACCAGATGTTCTATCAGTGCATTTGTTGGGCTTTCTTTCTTTCTTTCTTTCTTTTTTTTTTCTATAGCCATAGTGGGTGGTTGGTATCTTATGCTTTGAAAATGTTCCAGTCTTAATCATCTTGGTCACATAGTAGGTTAAAGAACTTTGGAGGCATAATAATTCATTTATTTATACGCTAAAAAAGACTCAGGATCTCTTGCTTCCGTAGATTTTACACCTGCCTGCTTTGTCAGCCCACCTCAATGAGGAGATTGGGTGGCCATCTCTCCGAAAGGCAGTGTTGATTTGGGATCTAGTTTTCACAAGAGGTTGTCAACCCTCCTGTTCATCTGGTTGATTTTTAAAATCCAGAGTCTGTCCTTAATCAGTAATAAAGAACTAACTGTTCCTTGCCAGAGAACATGCTTCAAACTCTTTGTTAGCTAACTTCTATCAGAAGCCATTTGAAAGGAATTTCATTCCTGGAAATTGTTTTGAAAAATAAAATACATGTCTTTCTCTAGACATCCATCTTTTTAACTCCTAAATCATGCTGTACTAACAAAACATGGTACATTTAAACCATATTTTCTCAGCCTCTGACAAGACATTTTCTTTGTTATATTTGGCCCTCAGCTTACAGTTATGGGTGCTCTAGAAGCACCTGGAAAGGTTTACAAAATAGACAACTACTGCCACTTAATAGTGCTATTGAAATGTCACCCACTAGTACCCAGAGTCCTCCATGCAAAAACCCATCTACAACATGGGCTTCTGTGTGCCACCTTACAAACAGTTAGGGCGTTTTCTCCTTAGAGAGAACATCATTCTTGTAAAGCTATCCTGTTTCTGTTCAACTACCAAGAAACTCAGGGTTAAAGTTGTTAACTAAAAAGCACAGAACTGTTTAAGTTGTGTTTAAGGCATTACAACATGCCTTTCTTTGTTCTAAATTCTCCCTGAATTTGCTTTTCTATAGTTTTCATGGCCTTGACTTTTTAATTTAGGCATTTCTTTCTGGATTTTATACATTGAAATTTTGTGGAACAAAAATGAGCCATCGCTAAAGAGAGAAAAAAAATAAAACTAGATACTTCATGATATTGCAAAAAAAAAAAGATTCTGAAAGGGAGAGGAGAAAAAGGTGAGACAAAGGGATGGAAAAAATCACTGAGCACTAGTAGTCAATAAGAGATAGTAATATCAATAGAGATAGAAATCCGTAAACTTAGAAGTAAAGAATATGGAAGTTAGTACATGATAAGATTGAAGGAATCTCTGACAAAATCAAAGGGGAAAAAAATACATGCCAGAATGTAGTAAATGAAAAGAAATATAAACAGAGAGATAGAGTCTATAGACAGAATAGGAATAAACTGAATACTTTGATATATCCATGGAAGTAAAGCCATTCAAAATATTGCTGACTGAAGAATGCACACTATTCCTGTGTATTATCTAGGCTGTATTTCAGAGAAACCAAAATGAGGCTGCCATCTTCCATACCACCACTACAGGGTTGATTCAAGGTGTATCAAAAATCCAATTATTCCAAAGTTTTTCTTAATATTCTCAAGTCCATGGATTCTCTTTTTGATCAATAAGCTCAAAATCACTGAACTCAAAATGATCTGAGTCCTGACTCCTAAGCATTGAATTTTGAAGGAGGAGGCAGGTCTGATAGAAGGGGTCATGGAGGAAAAGCAGGTAATGATCCTTTTAGGGGCCCAAGGAAGCTGGCCAATGCTTCTCTTTCTGTAGAGCTTCCCAAATGATTCATTTGCATTTCCCTTTTCCCTCTCAATAATTTACTGTTGCCAATGAGGAAGTCACTGAATAGCTACAGCATTGATTTTTGAAGTTTGATCTCTGAGACCAGCAGCATCAGTGTTACCTGGGAATATTACAAATGCAAGTCCAGGCTCTGCCCTAGATCTGTGGAATCAGAAATTCTAGGAGTGGGGCCTTGCACTTGGCATTTCAACAGCTCTCCAGGTGTTGTAATACACAGTAAAGTCCGAGAACCACTGGACAAGGAACCACAGTGTTTTGGTCTGTTAATTCACAAGTGTACTGAACGTGCGTGACAACACACAAGAATAGAGCCAGGGTTAGAAAAGGAGAATGCAGGAGAAAGAAAGAAAGAAAGTCTAAATGAAATATTCCTATTTCAAAAGCTCACATGTAAGCATGTATGCTCACACTCAAATTTTATTTTTAATTCACTATTTGTATCTTTGTGTCTCCATGGTTTTTATTCTTGGTGTATTCCTAAAAAAAAAAAAAAAAAAAAAAAAAAAAAAAAAAAGAAACTCTAACACTAAGTTTACCATGGAAAACTAGAACTAAGACTTTATATTCTTTAGATTTCTTAATTCATTATTCTCAAACAGACAACATAATTTACTCCCAGTTCCTAAGTCACTCTGCAAACGATCAAGTTTCCTCCCAGTTTTAGCTCCACGTAGGGATCAACATCACCAGTGCAATTTAGTCACCCCTAAGGTAAAAGTCTGCAGCTGTTTAAACAGTGCATGGCCCATAACAACATGACAGTGTAGGGCAGGAAGCAAAGAAGGATTCTATTTCTAATTGAACCTCTGACGGGAATTAAAATAGGTGGTATCTGATTTCACCAACGAGAGTTCATTTTCTTATCATAAACTTTTCAGCCACACACTTGCTGTCTTCCTCCAAGTACTATCACTCTTAACACTGCCACTCCTTAAGCTACTCCTTCATTATGGACTTCAGTGTTGGATCTGATGCTATCGTCTTTCAAAACAGGCAATTTTAGTTTTGAAATGTCTCCACGCTATTATGGACTGAAAATTACAAACGTCTTCATTGTCACTAGAGAAGACTTAAAGAAAAAAATATGGACCTAAAAATATTTGCTTATATATTGGATGGTTTGGCCTGATTTCGAGAGGATAAATAGATAAGGTGACTACATAATTCACACATTTCCAAATCTGGGAAACATGAGGGGGCGGCTATCACAACAGACCCACACTGGGACTGTCTTGGGCGAACAGTGAACGTGCTAATTCTATGAATAGGAAACACTATGAAATCCATCACATATGAAATCAATATACGAAGGATTTTAACGAGGAAAATCTTTATCATTTACTTTCTTTATCCATGAAAGACTAAATAAGTAGAAAAACAAGGGGAAACTTCTGTTGTCATTATTTATTCATTTATGTTTATTGAGGGCCTAAGTGCCATCATTGGGCTCTTTATCTCATTACTATATATGTTTACATAAATGAATAAGTTCATTATCCAGTTGTTAGACATAATTAAATCATCTTGACTTTCAAATATTAATGATGTAAATAGATACTGTGGGAGGTGTAGAGTTGCCACCCATGGGAATTGCTGCTCCTGCTAATAACTGTCCTCAAACATAATAGAAGCCCAATCAGTTTTGTGAATTATATTAAAATTATACAAATATACACCTCTCTAGAAGCAAAATACCAAGATGTTATTTCTATGTTCCTTTCTAACCTACAGTGTCCAAGAATTCATCTCTGTTCTTTGGAAGCTTTGCATACGTAGCTAACCCCTCCTCTTGTCTAGCACAATTGAGGATTGGATTACAGAAAGTCATTCATGAAAGTATAGCAAAGCAGTTCCACGCTTTTCTGTCAGTATTATTTTTATAATATATCCGCCAATACTCTTTGCTGTAGATCATTTTTTTCCTTTGAAGCATTTATGATCACTACCATATAAAGCCTGAGACTTATCTGATGGGTCAAATTAATTATGAAAATTGGCATGGTCAGATTTAATCATGAAATCAGACATTAACAGAATCTTGACTTTCAGGGGAATGATTTCCTACCACATATATTCAGGGAAGGAAGGGAAAGAGGAAGGGAGGAAAAGAGGAAGGAAGGAGGAGGGGCATATACACAAATTGTCTAAATCAAGACTTCTCCAAAATATTTTATATATCTTTAAGTGTACTAGAAGTAACATCAACTTTTGTTGTATATTTTTAATTGAATCCATATCTCTTGATATGAAGACAAAATTTTAAAATCATGAAGAATGGAGCACATGTTTTTATAAAGTGAAAAATGAAAAATATCTGGAATGATTAATAAGTTATACCTCCAAAAAATCATTAAGGCAATACAGTTGACCAATTCAGTGACTTAAAGATTAAAAACAACAATAACAATTCTTATACCAGTGTCAAGGATTCAAAACGAGCTGTTTGTTGAGATTTTATTTTATTTCCTTTTTACGTCTTAGTCAATTGACCTAACATTGGCTATATAAGTCCTAGGGATCATCACATACACAGCATGACCAGCCTTCAACACTGTTACCTGCTAAATACATATTTCCTCTTATCTCACTACAATATTACATGGAACTCACAAATAGTGCCAAATAAGCAATACAGAGAAGTGATCCTTCATGGGAAGAGATCATTTCTATATAGGAGGTCCTTGGAAGGCTTCACAAAGTAGAGCTTTGTATGCAGTATATCAAGAGGTAAAGTGAGAGAAAATAGGAATCCATAGAACAAACTTGTTTTCCTAAAGGTTTCATTGGAGATAGTGATGTGAGAGAAAGTCATTTTATTGAAAGGAAGTTTCTTGCCAAGGGAATTAAATTATACCTTGTGATCTGAGGGAAACATTGAAAATTGGTAGAAGGAGATGTGGGGATCCATGAAAATTATTCTAACAGCAATGCATAGGTGAGACTAAGTTCAGAAACAAGTAAACCAGCATGGACTTTATGTCAGTTATACAGAGGCTAATGAAGATATAAATTAAAATACCGTAGAGTGAGAAAGGAAAGTATTAATGCAAAATATAATGTGAAAGAATAATCTAGATGATACTATTACTGATTGAATATGTGGATCTAATCAGAATTTCTAAAATTATCAGTCTCCTTTCTGGGACTATTGAGGTACATACTGATGGCCGGTGGGGTGCAGAAACACTTTGAAGAGGAGGAATAAGGTAAAACATGAAAGTGATATCTGAGAAAAGAGAGTTCTATTGTGGGCATATTAAATATAATAAGTTTATAGAAAATTCCAGAACAGTTGATGATATGAATTGGTAGAAATGCTCTGTTTGAAGCTGAGGAAATGGAGCAGTTAGTTCTGTGATAGAGCATATACAAAGAGACAAATTGGTTAAGAAAAGAAACATGGGTGGAAGAAGAAAAAGGATCTGGTAAAGGAGAAAATTATCAGTCCACCCAGGTGAACAGAAAGTACATTAAGTATTTCAAAAGTGTGATTGTTAACATGGGACCTTGACTAATAGGTATTAGCTGTAAGAACAGAAAAGAGATGCTGAAAATACACAGAGATAGTAACTATAGGAAGCAGTCAGTGGCCAGAGGACTGGAAAATAAAAGGAAAAGAGCCTATAATTCAGAGGAAGCACCCCCAAAGAGTTGGTGCTGGGTCCTTTGAGGAAAGCACTAGGAACCCAGGTCTCTGATCTATCTCCAGGCAGGAGAAGGTAGAGTTAATCTAACAGGTACTAGGAACTCTGTGAAAGGTATGGAGCTCAGTACCCAGGAGCATGTGCCCCAGTTGTGAGGGAACATAGCACACTATATACTTAAGTATTGAAGGAATCACATTCTTGTTGCTCACAGAGCCTGTTTCTGGAAGTGGTAAGAAAAGCTACAGGCTGGAGTCAACTGTATGCATTGCTGGAACACGGCTGCTAGAAACTTACAAAACCAGGAAGGAAGCCCCTCTCTCTATTGTCATTTTTCAATCTCTCTCTAGTGACTCCTACTGGTAGAACCTAACAGGAAGCCAGCTGATAAGCCAATCTGAGAGAGTTATTTGGGGAGTTCCATGCCCAACCTTATAGAAGAATAAGAAAAGGCTTCTTGGAGTTGAGAGACAATAGCTAAATAATCAGTAGCAGAGAGGCATGTGTACCAGAAGCTAAAGGAAGAATGAGGTTTATACAAGAAAAGGGAGGAAAACTCCAACAAATGCAGGAAGTAGGTCAAGGAGAATAGACTTTTGAATCTCATGATTAAGTTATCAATGAAATGATCTTAAATGGGTAAATGTTGAAGTAAATACTCATTAAAAATCTTAGAAACATATAACTAAAAAGAACTTTTTTTTAATCTTAGAAACTGCTTTTAATGCCTTTGAAAAACTAGTTATGTCAGTTTTCCCATTACTTTAAGAACTTTAAAAGTATTCAATAAAACTTTTATTGTATCTATAGGAATGCAAGAACTAATATTCTGGAATACTTACAACCAAAACAGAAATGATGAAAGTATTATTAGTAAAGTGTAATTTTTTAAAAAATTACTTTACTAAAATTGTACAGGCTTGCCCAAGAAATGTATTTATAAAATATTTTGTTCTCCACGTTTTTAGTGCCAACACATTTTTAGAATTCTTATCAAATTCCATTGGAATAGTGCAAATAGCCCTTAGGAAACATCAATTTAATATGGTGCTAGGATGCCACTGGCACTGCAGTGGAGATTCTCAGCATGGAAGAGTGGCATAAAGAAAATTCTCTTCTTCCCTCCTGCAGAGACTAAGATTCCATCACACCATCCTCGCTGCTCTTTCCCTTTCCCCCTACAGAGCTTAAAAAATCTGCCTAGAATGTACATTCCACAGTCCTCTGAAGTATTATAGCAATATTACTAAATTCTTCACATGACATTTGGACAAAAGCCAATGATAAATATAAAAACTTAGCCGACTTTCAGATCTAAAATGGATTTTTAATATCCATGTTTACAAAAAAAAGGAAAGCTACATTTTTTTAATGGCAAATTGCAGTCATTTTGTAATAAGTATCAAGTTACCAGCTTATGCTAAGTGCTGTGGGTGCTACTGTATTTATTTGCGTGACAGAGCATGGAACTGGCACTGTGCTTTGTCGGTGGAATGGTGGGTCAGAAGTTGAAAGGTATGAAAATATTCTAATTTTATGCAAAAAAAAGGAATGACTGAATGAAAGTAGAGCATGATGGTAAAGTTTCCTCTTTTGCTAAATTATTCCCCTTTTTTTCTCTGGGAAACAACTTACATATACAAGGAGATTGTTTTAAGCCTTTTAAGTGCTGTTTTCAGAAGTTGTGCCTCCAAACATCCTGGATTGGTTCACTCTTTAGAAAGTCATATGCAAATGGAGTATACACACACATACACACACACACACACACACACACACACACACACACACCTCACCCAGGGTTCAAAGAGATTACTGGACAAGTTGCTGTTTGATGGAGAAATGGGGGCATACTCATGGCCAATGGAGTCTTGTCCAAGTTAATTCATACTGAGTCCATAAGTAATCGTTATATAAAATATACAGTCAGGTAACACGTAATGATTACCACCTATAACTGCCGCCTTGTACCATTTCTGAATAAATATTCAAAATAATCATATAAACCAGTAAATATTATTGCCATTTGGCATATGAAGAATTTGAGGCTCAAAGAGAATCATGCCTAAGATCAGAGAGCTAATAAAGGACAGAATCAGAAAGAGTTCTCCATTCCAAGCTCTTTCCACTAAGCTGTACTGCAAAAATGCCTCTCTGTACTTCTACCTACATACAGCAACCACTTATTTCTGGTCTTCTATGGTTTACAACACTGTTTGTGCTAGGGGGCATCATTGACTTATCTGTTTAGGAAAACAATGTCCTTGGATCCTTTCTTTGGAATTATTCTGCTACCAAGTATATTGATACTGTCCCACAAACTGCAATGAAAATCCCTTCAGGAAGATCTGTGCTGAGCTGGGAGTGATTGTGAGAGTGACTACGGCTCCATGTGAGCATGTGGGTCCAAACATAGGAAAGAGGGATCACTGATATTTTTAAAGGAGAAGGATATTTTGTCATTAGGCCAAGAATACAGTATTAATGACACTGAAGACATCTGACTATGGGCTCTTTCTTTGAGCGTTCTTCCGGGAATCTCCACTGACTGGCACAATGCCTGGTACAAAGATCGGCCATTTAAAAAAAAAATTAATGAATTTAAAAAATAGACATACCTTGGATTTCTAAAAAGTATTTTGATATTAAAAGATAATAAAAGCAGGGCTTAAAGGAATAAGATATTTTCCTGAAAGTTGTTCCTCAGGAACTCTATTCTTAATGTATTAAAAGTTGATTGTTGGACAAAGATTCAT